CCGGCCTTGTTCAGAGTATTTTTTAAAGGCTTAACTCAATACTACCTAACAGAAAATCTCATTGATTCTACTCATTATTTATCATCATTTTGGAGAGAACTAGGTTAAAATTTGTATTTGCACTTCCTGTGAAAATGACTGCCAAAACCTTGAACCCAACACACCCAAACTTATCAGCAGCAGTTTGGCTTAGTAGGGAGAACCACCTGGACCTGCTGCTCCTCTAACTGCAGCCAACAAAAATGTACCAAGTACTGCCAAGGACTCCTGAAATGACTGGAGCCACTCACGACTACTGCTGCAACTACAGCAATTACATCTCATTTATAGCTATCTTTTTAAGCAGGTGTCATGCCTGCCTTTTTTGTTCTTAGTGTTACCTAAACCTAATATACCTATATTCCAAATTTCTTAAACTTATTTTTTTTAATTGTGGCATGCTCTTTCTCAACAGTACAAATCCGTGAGGTTTTACCATATTTTTATTCTTTGATTACAATCAATCAAGTTCAAGACAAAACATTCCAATGTTAATAAAAATAGTATCAAATTTCAGATTTAGGTTTTAAATAAAACTTGAGGTGCTGCATTGAAGGTGGCTCTGTAGTGTTTACAACTTCAAGCCTGCCAAGATAGATCCCACATCTACGCAGGTGGGTGTCATTTCAAACATCCTCAGATCCTGCCCACAGATATATTCATCTGTGAATAAGGTATTTAAACATTAATTTTTAAATAATTCTACATTTAAAAGGTCAGTATTAAGCCACTTAAATTTGTTATTTTCCAGAATCTGAACTACTGTCAAGAGAGACTCAAATGAGATTAACACAGCGTTAATTTTCAATCTTAATCATCAGTTAGTTCTCCCATGGAAAGATTAAGGCTGTTGTCAACATACAGTATTTCTGCTGTAACCTAAAAATCTCGTATTACCACTTCTCCTGAGATAGATATCTGTCAGGTCCCAAGATAGGAATTGTTTCCAATGAATTATACTATATTCTCAGGACTGATCTAGAACAACTGGTTTCATGAGGCAGCTGTCGCAGATATAAACAGGTAAACAGGTCCAAAAAAAAAAAATTCAAGTGACTTATGATGTTTTACATTGATTTTAAGAAAAAAATTAAGAGGCACGTTTAAGCTTTAAATATAGAATGATTAAATAAATTAAATTTCAACTGAAAGGACAATTTAGCAATTCAGATTAAGCTCCTAGAAATATACTGAAGACAAAGCCAGACATTCAATAAAAAATGGAATCTGAGAAACATTCTTTTATCCTCTAGCCATAGTTTCAATGATTATTATTTTCTGAACCAAGAATCAGAACACATGGTTTGTGTCAAAGGGTTTGTCTGTGTTATTTCTGGGTGTAAGGTGATGTAAGTGACATTTTTTGAATGTCAAATACTGTAACCTCCAAATATTTTAATGCCAAGATGACAAAATATTTGAAATCTCGATTGTCCCAGAAAAATCTAGTTGATATCGCTACTACAGTTACAGCAGTACCATAGCTGAGAGCTCTCCCTACACTTGTTCTACTAAGGAACTGTGATTTTTTTTTCTCTTTTCTTTAGTATCTCTTCCAGAAAAGGGGGCAGGGGAAGATCAAACAGCACTGATTAATATTAAGGTCCCAGCAGTTGTCAAAAGTCGTATAGAGAGGTAACTTTGCTACCTACTCCTTCCTAAGAATCTAGAGACAAAGGGAGTTGTAGTGCTACTAGAGCAACAATTTCGGGATCCTGCAAATTAAAGATTAATTCATAATTACACGAGACAATGGTCCTGCAGTAGGCCTGTGCTGAAAAAGTCTGCTTGTTGGAAAAATGCTACTATGAATAGTTAGAAGATAAAAGCAATCCATCAGCAAAGGAGGGCAAGCAGACAGCAGCTATGTCTAACACAAACTCACTCACATTAGGTCTTCTGGTTAGTTTTTTTCCTCCGAATCCCTTTTCAGTCCTGTTGTTTAGCCAGCCCCCATGGCAGGAATGGTAGAACATTTAGCAGGAAAGCTTTGAAGGGTTCTACCCCACTTCAAAAATACCTTTGCTTAAAAACACTTATATAGCCAGTGATTAGCAATTAAAATGTGAAAATAATTACTTAGTAGTTAAACTCTGCTAATTATCAAAAATTATGGCCTACTGGGATTAGCAGCATTACAAATCCAAGTCATACTGCATATCTTAAGCTTTTTCTAAATACTTAACAGATCTCTTTCAGTGTTAATTGCACTTAAAACACATCTGGTTTTTTCATTTAATCTCTGAAATCTGTTCCATTTTTTCCCCCTTCATTTATAAAAAGAGGAAAGGGATCAATTTATCATTTGCTATATAGCTATTTGAATTTGATAAAGATTCCACACAGATTTGTGCATCAGGTATAAAGGGAGTTGCA